AAATAGAGATGGCTATGATCAGGGCTAATATAGAAGAAGATCCTAAAGTAACCATGGTGAGATTCCTCGGGGGTCTCAACAAAGATATCGCCAACATGGTGGAATTACAACACTATGTGGAAGTGGAGGACATGGTCCACATAGCCATGAAGATTGAGAGACAACTAAAGAGTAAAGGTAAGAGAACATTCCATACCACTCCTATATTTAACTCAAGATGGCCGAAGAAAGAGGAAATGAAGGGAGTTGAAGCAAAGAAGGAGAAGGTGGTCACATCTCATCTCAAAGAATTGTATGCACTAGTGAGAGTATTAAAGGTATGGCAGCATTATCTCATGCCCAAGGAGTTCGTGATCCACACAGATCATGAATCGTTAAAACATCTAAAAGGACGCAGTAATCTCAACCATCGACATGGTAAATGGGTGGAATTCATTGAAACATTTCCTTATGCCATCAAGTACAAGAAAGGTAAAGACAATATTGTAGCAGATGCATTGTCACAGAGGTATGTATTACTTACAACTCTTAATTCTAAATTGCTAGACTTTGAATATATTAAGGAATTATATCCTAGTGATAGTGACTTTACTAATATTTATGTAGTATGTGAAAAATGTGTCTTCTAGAAGTTCTATAAGCACGATGAGTTTCTATCTAAAGATGGAAAACTGTGCATACCTGTATGCTCCCAGCAGGAATTGTTAATACGTGAGTCACAGTGGCAGACTCATGGGACATTTTAGGATAGCTAAGACTTTAAATATCTTACAAGAACACTTTTACTAGCCTAACATGCGCAGGAATATAGAGTGAGTGTGTGAAAAGTGTATTGAATGTGGGTAGGCCAAGTCTAAATCCTTACTGCACAGACTGTACACACTGTTACCCATTTTGTTAGCACCATGGATGGATGTGTATATGAATTTTGTGTTAGGGTTACCAAGCACTAAGCAAGGAAGTGATAGTAATTCGTTGTAGTGGACATGTTTAGTAAAATGGCACACTTTATAGCGTGTCATATAATGCAACAAATATAGCCCATCTATTTTTCAGTGATGTCGTGCGGCTTTATAGTGTCCCCGGGACCATGGTTAGTGATAGGGATGTAAAGTTCGTAAGTCACTTTTGGAGAGTCTTGTTGTACAAATTGGGGACTAAACTATTATTTTCCACTGCTTGTCACCCCTAAACAGATGGACATACAGAAGTAATTAATAGGATTCTAGGAGCCCTATTAAAGGCGGTAAAATTAAAAACATGGGAAGAGTGTTTACCTTTGATGGAGTTTGCTTATAACAAGACTATTCAATCTTTCATGAGCTTATCTCCTTTTGAGATTATATATGGGTTTAACCCACTAACCCCACTTGACTTAACTCTTTTACCTTTGAAGGAACTTGTTAATCTGGATGGACAACAAAGAGCACAATTAATCAAAATCATACACAAAAAGGCATGGGAACACTTAGAGAAAAAGAACGAATCATATGCCCACAAAGCAATAAAGGGAGAAAACAAGTCAAATTTCAACTTGGATATTGGGTATGGGTCCATATGAGGAAGGAAAAATTTCCTAAATAACGAAAATCAAAAATAGACCCTAGAGGAGCTGGCCCGTTCAAGATCTTGAAGCAAATCAATGACAACGCCTACAAGATAGACCTCCTAAGTAAGTATGACATTTCCACCACCTTTAATGTTGCTGACCTTTCCTTTTTTGATGTAGGTCTATATTCGAGGATGAATCCTCTTGAAGAGAAGGGAGATGATGTGAGCATGGATCATCTTGGGTTACTTGGAAGAGACATCATCATGTCAAGTGGGCCCATAACAAGGAGCCAAACTCAAGGATTAGAACAAGTTTTTCAACTCTTTATCCAAGCTTAGATTAATGAGGAAGATGGGTTTGGATCCACTAAAAAAAACCTAAAGAAATAAGCTACCCAACCAATTAACCCAAGAGTATAATGGTCTATCAACTTGCTTCAAGCACATGATAGAAATGGGTAAGAAAAGGAAGTAATCAGTCAAGAAAATAGGAAAGACCATATCTATCCTACTTAAGAATTTGGACTTTAAATTTAATTAATTTTCTATGTAATTGCACCTAGTTAGGAATTTAAAACTTTAATTTTAATTAATTCCCTATGTAATTACACCTAGTTAGGAATTTAGACTTTAAATTTTAACTAATTTCATATGTAATTGTAATTTTAATTAGGAAATTTTTATTACCTTTTTATTCACATGAATTACTTTATAAATAGGCAACTAAGTCTTCATTGTAAGCATTCAATATTAAAATCAATAATATTGTGAGTCTTATTCAAGGGAGGTATTTTTATCATTCTTTTTAAGTAAGGAGTAAATCTATTTATCAAGGTAATTACTTGTGGTGTTTTTCCATTCTTCTTTTAATTCTTTGTTTCTTAGTGATCTTACTTCTTATCATTCTTAATAGAGGGTTAAACAGGGAGAGCTTTCATAAGATTAAATTTCTTTGGTGCCTTGAATGAAATTATATGAGTTTCTGATCACGTTGGTTGATCTTGGGCTCCACATCATAATGTTTTGTAAAATCCACACGAAGTTTCATTTTCCATTATTCCTTTTTAGAACACCATATTAATTAGCAATTTGATTTATTTAACTTCTCATATAAATTGACTTTCAGACGTTTATCTAGTTCTTCTCAAGTTTCATTTTTTTGCCTGAGGTAAAGTTTCATAATTTTTATTCTACTGATTCGGAAATACGGTTACTTGTTTAGTCTATATTGACCACTTTAGGGTGTATTATAGGCATGTATGTTATGCTCTAGGTGGGGGCATTTTTCATTTGTTGTTGGTATTCTTCATTCTATCCTCCAATCTCCTTAGTTAGTTTAGGATACACTCTTTTAAAGGTAATATAGATAGAGGCTCTTATAGGCTTAGGCTTTCCTTAGCTTTTTTTCAAGGTTCTTTTTTATTATTCTCTTTTTTAAGAACTTCTATAACATTTTCTTGATGAATGTTGATCACTTGTACATGTTCGGTCCCAAGAGCGTAAAGGACTTCATGAACATAAGGTATATAGAGATAACTGCATTCAAAGCATGTTGGCAACTCAATCTAAGATTTCTTTCTACATTGGCTCAACCTACCACTAGAAACCTCAAGTTCAATGAGATTTGTTTTAGATACTCCTATATTTTTGCTGTAGTGATATCGATCATTTTACTAGCATCATTTTATGTCGAATTCCTACCAAGGATAAAGAGATTTTTTTAGGCACTTACTAGATATGTCCATTTGGGCAAAGGTTCCCTAAATGAGAATCTCGATCAACCTGAAATCTTTTATCAAGATTTGGCAAAGTTTATGTGTCCCTATAATTATTGTGATCACTAAAGCATTATCATTTAAGGTTCTCACATTCCCCCTATTTATTGTTAATATTTTGCTTTTGTTAATCGTTTAGCCATGTTGTTGATTTGGTTATTTGCAAAGAGAAGTTTATGAAGGCTATTGGTAAATACAAGAAAATATTGTAGCATGATTTAAATTCCACAATTATCCTCTTCAAGTATTCTCCCACAATTCATTGTTTTGTGTTGTCAAATGGTTAGTACATTTTATTGCCTATATTAGGTCATATTGCTTATAAATGGGTTGAGTACTATTTTTTTGGGTTATTTTCCTCTAGGTGTGAACACTAACTATTCTTTTCACATAGTGTTGGAGGGGGACGAGATGTGTTGCTCTTGTTGTTGAACTTTTGTTTTTTTCCAGTTGGGTTTTGTTCGTCTGATTGTACTATGATATCTTCCATCAAGTTTGGGCAACTAAATCTTCAATAAGTATAGTTGTGACTAGCAAATTGGTGATTGGTTGATTTTTTTTGTTCTAAGCTTCATTGGATTGGCTAATGATCCAGTGCACCACAAAGTTAGAAATTCTAGTCATGATTTAGATCTCCAATCCTAAATGAGCAAACTAATATCGTCTCCCCTCTTTTCGAGAAATGGGTGAAGTAGAAGACAAGTAAATCTTGTGTAAGCCCACTTGTAATAAAAGTGGAACATGTATTTATTTTAACTCACTAATATAGTCATGAGCAATGATTGAAAGTACAAACAGAAACTTAAAGAGATAATATATAAGTAAGACCAAGTTACATTTTATGAACCAAAAACAAGTCCCATGAAACTAGTATTGCCCATTTAATTAAGTCTTTAAGAACAAGTAGTTGTGGATTGTGATGGGAGAGCAAACAGAGAAAGAAGAAGTAGAGTGAAGAATTTGGTCCACACGGTTTGTCGGCTGGCTTAGGAGCCCCTCTTGGCCACAGCATTATTGGTCATGGATCTTTTATCACTCTACTATAATTGAGCATTATATCATTCTCTTTTATTTTTTTTATTACTGGTTGAATTGATTGTATTAAGATCTGAAAGTTAATGCCAAGATTGGATCTGATCATATTTTGGTTGGGGGAATTTTTGTTGTCCCCATAAAGGGAATCCATTCAAATTGTCAATTTGAAAATGTTTTTTTCTTCTTCTCTTTTTTTCTTTTTTTTTTAAGTTCAGCGGCTAAGTAATTTTCAACCCTTTGATTGTGTGTGTATGTATTTATATCGAATATCATTGGATACCCATATGCCATGACTGTAAATCATTTAACTGATACAACTTCAGATGTATTTGTTTTTATTTCATTTGAATTGTAGTTTTCTAAATAAATTATATATTTTTTTTCAAATATTATCATATATCATTCACGTACATAACAAATTAATTAGTCATCTTATTGTCAACACAAAGATAAATAAATTGTCTCAATTATATGTCACAAGAAATAAAAATATTTAAACATCACATATTTTTCTTCATAAGTTATAAAATTTCACAAAATTCTTACTCTGTTATAAAAATTTCAAATGAAATTAGAAAAAAAAAAAATTAATTAATTTTATCAGACACCCCTAGGATGTACCTACTCATGAAGGCAATGTAAAATCACGTCACATATCACAGATGTCATTGGAGTATTTACAAGTTAAGAATCAAGAACCCAATGCCACATGAAAATTGCTTTTTCTTTGTTTACCTTCAACAGATGCACTTCAAACATTTTGTTCAGACAAATCTAAATGATATGCAGGAAGAGTTTTATAACCTTAAGTGTGCATCTTTGAAGTAGATACTCTACTAACCATAAAGTTCAAATAGACTCTGAACGTTTCATTTCCTCCTGGTCAGAAATTGACATTTCAAACTGCTCTTCTCAATATAAATAATACCTACCCTCACCTGATTCATGTCTACAATTCACTGACATAATTCCCGGACGAGCAAAAGGCAACACAAATAGGGACCAGAGGGAATGGTGGTTATAGAAGATATATCAGTTTGTGCTTTGAGAGGTTCCGGCATTGCCTTTCCAAGTTCTTAAGAATCTGGTTTCTCATATCCAAATCATGCCCCACCAGCCATATCCATATCTGTCACCCCATCAATTCCCTTGAAAACAACTCGCAATTTTCTCAGGCATGAGATTTTCTTGTCATTCTTGCTAGCCATGCCACTCACATGAATAACATCCTTTGAGACTTTTCCCATAAGATTGTAAAGTGGTAGACTTAGGTTTGATCGCGTCATCTCTTCCAGAACTGGAGGTGCTTGCATGTAAAGATTTTTCCCTTGATGTATGATGCTCGCTTTTGATATCAGCAGCTTAGGGTCCTCTTCAAGTTGATCAATTAACTGCTTATGTATAAAATGAATTAATAAAAAATAGACAGAAAGAACTAACACTAAGTTTATGCTACCCAACATCATTGAAAAGGATTATAGAAAAAAATATAAGATAACAGCCCTAAAGAACAGAAGAGAAATAAGAAGAATATGGCTGATGGAATTCAACAATAAAAATTCTCAACAATAGTTATAAAAAACGAGAGACACAGTCTTTTCCCTTAGAAATACATTACTCTTAATTGAGGACATAAAACATACTATCCTTGCTCCTATAGAGCTAGATTTTCACATGTTGAAGATTAAGCTTCTGGAAACTTCTCCTTTTCACTACAAAAAAGGGCATTCAGTTCATCTGATAACTTGTGAATCCATGCTTTTCTTTTGATTCAGTAAATTATAACAATTAGTATGGCCCAAAAATAAATGTTTTCAACCTCACAACAGCCATGAGTAAAAAGTTCCCACTAGGAACACGCATTAAAATTTCCAGAAATAGAAGAATTAAGTGTTCTGCATTGTCCATCTACCAAGCAAAAATAATTTGTAATCATCGGAAAAGAACATAACCTTTTGTAGAGTAATTGAAACGTCCAGCTCAATTAGAACACCTGGACCACATACAAGACAGTCCTTGTCCTTCACAAATTCAGTCACTTTAGTGTGGAGACCCTCCCCGCCATTATACCTGCCAAAGAATGAGTCATAAGTACAGCTTGTTGAGATGTTATTGTCCAATCAACAGAGAGAAACAAATTGAGAAATCATTACCCATTAACTATAGATTTAGCAATGAACTTTTTTCTGAATTTAATGTAGTAACATGTTCATAGTTTCACTTATTAGTTCTGAGCTCAAACATTTTTTTGGCCAAAATATAGCAAGTAGAACCAAGGAGAAAGACCCCTGAATTAACAATTAAGGCTACGTTCTAAACTTACTGTGGAAGTCATTTACAAATCTGCAGTAATTTTAACTAAAACATAATGAAGATACTACCTAAAATGACAAAAATTGAAGCTCAAATGGAATTTCATGTTATGTTTGCAACAAATCCAAAATTTACATGGAATTCTTTTACAAAGACGCCAAACTGGAAAAACAATTCTGCTGCTAATATAATCCAAAGTCTGAAATACCCATAAAGCAGCCATTTACAAGGACATTGAAATCCCAAGTCTGCAGTTAACAATATATAAGATCTCTCTTATGTTACAGTTTTCAAACATATATAACAGACAAGAAATAGATCTCTTTTGTAACTGTTCCCTTCATTTCCTTGTCTTTTCATGCCAAAAGTCAAAGAAGCAATGATCCTAGAATTGTAATGCAATAAAGGTGATTCACCATATACGGTTTGATAACTATATAAATCTTTCTGAATGCTGTCAGAGAAAAATGAAGACTATAACAAAAACTTCAACTCTCTGTAAAAGTAGAAGAAACAGTTGGACATACGTTAAATAGTTTGAAAGAGTTTTGCTGCATCCTGACATAATTTTCAAGGCTTCCAGTGCACATGCAGCAGAAATAACTGCATTTGTAGAAGCAATTGCTGGTATAATATTTTTTACAACCCCCTGTCCATGAAAAAAGGATTGATTGCTTAGTCCTAAATAAAGGCAAAATAGTATATGGGATTCTCATCATTTGTAAAAGGAGAAAAGGCAGGAGGGAAAGCCACTCAAAAAAGACAAATAATCAAAACTTCAGATGCAGTCTGCTTTTTTTAAGGGACTCATTGACTTTTCATTCTTCTGTTGTTTGAGTATGTGCATGCCAAGTGGTTGATTACCCACTTCTCCTTTCACGGTCTGTAAAACGCATACGTTTTAAACATTTATGTGAATGCATTTTAGAAAGAAAAGATTACCCATGAATTGGCAATTATCACAAGAAAGCCAGCCAGGCTGCAATTAGGAGAAGAAAAATAGCTTCACAAAGATGAACTTACTAGAATTATGTGTTATACCTGTGTAAGAGAATATGTAACTCCTGGAATGCCAAAAAGGTCAGCTCTCTTGACAGCCTAGAAATTTGGACAGCATTAATAAAATAACCAAAGAAACATTAATATTGCAAGGAAAAATGTATAACACTAAATTAACCTCGTTGTAAACCCACTTCATATGATCTGGATCGTCAGGATCAAAAGCTTTTCCATTATGAACCTACAAATCAAAAGCATGATAGGCAAGTATAGTGATTAAAGCAAGATATTGTCAAATGACCACCAAACAATTTTTTTTTCAAAATAAATAGGAATAGAATAGTATATTGATTACCTCATCCCATTTAATTAGATGGGCATATTCAATGCAATGAGCAGCGGTTCTAGGAGTTTCAGCAAGTGTACACAAGGGAAACTTCACTTGAGGGGGGAAAAGCCAAATAGTACACTCGAAGCATGGTGTAACCCCTGGCATGATAACCCTAGCATGACCCTTGAAACCTTCTGTACCACCATCCACCATAGGTTTGATTGTTTCTTCTCGTGGATTATCATCTTCATCATACTCTAGGTTTACCAGTAATATGATGTTAAACCACATCAAAAGCTCAAGAAGACTATAAGAAGTCAATTTGAAAAAGATGTCATAGTTCTTCAGAGCACAAGAGAAGAAGCAGATATGCAATTGACTTAATAGTGTTTCCCAAAAGGAAAAAGCAAATGAGCAAGTAAAAGGGCTCACAGATACCTTTCCATATTCAACAAAAAGCAATTCCTCAAATCTCCAATTCCTGAAGCATTCAAGCCTCATAGCTATGCCCTATACAATAGCCAGTCATGACATACATAACACACCCTTATGCTTCATCAAAGAAAAAAAGCTTTAGGCCCAGAGTCTTCCTTTTATAGACAAAGGAACTAAGGTCCCACTTGATTCAATTCTTATTATATTACCAACCGGGTTGCACATGTAGGTTTTTTGTTAATATTACAAACCGCCTTGTGCTTTTATCATTGTATCAAACTGCTCTTTCTATTTTCAGTTGAATCATTTTAGCTCTATGAATTTGTAAAATGTATGAAATAGCACCACAAGAATGACAAGGACATGATTTGTGACTATATTATGCGTTAATAAAAAGACTTAAAAGAGAATATGCTTTAAGTTTTATAAGATGCTGTTGAATGTAAATGATACTGTTATTTTCATCTTATTTATTAGAATATGGTTCAGATTTTGTACACAATGAGGAATTCTGATATATGGATAAAATAAACATAAAAAGCATTTTCTGATTAAAAAAAATTTTTAACATAGCGTTTTCTGATAATAACCATTTACTTTCATATAAAGCTTCATCTAGCGAATTCCAACATGATTTTCATGTCCTAAGTCATTCCCACTCCCAAAAACACAAACTGAAAATTCCAAAGAATCAAGGTGGGAGTAAAGGCAATTTAAGCAGAAAATCATGACATAACTCTACGTATCAGGACAGACTCTAAGAACAAAGTGCAGGAGTTGGCTCAGAGTGGAAAGGGAATTAAACCAACTAAGCTGTAACAAAACCATAAGGGGAATGAACTGTCTATCGCATTTACCCACTCCCAATGCCCCCTTTTTTTATTTTTGGAAATAAAAATCTTTATAGAGACAACTTATTTTAAAACTTAATGCACAAAGCAACAAAGGTAGCTGCAGCTGCAGAAAACTAGAAAGATACTTACATATGCATAAATATAGCAAGCTATACAGATTATATAAATACAGAATAAATTAAGAATGCTCACCCAGAAAACCGCAAGCTACAGCATTTATATAGCTCCGAGCCTCAATAGAATCAAGGCCAAGGGCAATAATAGTAAAATCATTATAAAATTTGATTTCCTTGTCCTCAATTCGGCAAAAATGAGGCACAATGTTCACACCGCTAACTCTCTCCAGGACACGCTTTGCAGCTACCTCTGCCTTTGGTTTACCAACATCTTCAAGCCTAGAACATCAAGATGATGCCAACTATCTAATGAGGTGTAAACAAAACCACTGAAGACACACATCAAAGAAAATTTCAAACTAAAGCAAGTAAATTGCAAATGCTAATTGCTTCCTGGGTAATCACTGACAAGCACGGATGAAGAAAAATACAGATAGCCAGATCTAATCCATAATTTCTACTAAAAGCATGGATGAAGGTTATGCAATTCTTAGTAAAACTTCAACCGAAACGATATAATTGACCTAGACCTTTCAAGAAAGATTGTCAAATATCCTGATATGTCTAAGAATGACGTAGAATAGTTGGATTAGTTATAAAGCTAGGTTATTAGGTATAAGAGGAATAACACATGTTGTAAGACGAGTGAAAATTGAATGGTTTGTTCTCTCGTTATTATCTCTATGTGTTTGTTCTCTCTGTTTCTCTATCTTTGTATTTTATTCTCTTTTCTTAATTTCAATGGTGTCTAAGTACCAACCTAGCTACCCAATTCCTTTTTCTTTTCTCATTCAATTTTCACTCAAACCCCACCTTTTCTTGACCAAATTTACATTGAACCTAGATACATATCAAAAAACACAATGGTTGAAAGAACAGCAACATATTTTCAATAAACCAACTTTTTGATCAACCTTATTACTTTAGACAATCCCTAATCTATAATGAAAAAGAATCAGAAGAAATTGCAAGAGAACATAAAGCTAGGCAGATTCTTGGGCTGATAATTTTGGTTGATGTTTTGGCTGGTTACTTTGCAAATGAAGATTTGCAAGGAAATTTATCCAAATAGAGTTCAATTTGGAGACCCTGTAAGTGTTTATGGAGGATTTAGCTGCCATCAACCATAGCTGGTGATGGTGAAGATGACAAGGTGCATCAGAGAAGCTGTAAGAGTACGAAGGGATTTGTAAAAATGTATTGGACAAAATCTTGAAAATCCTGATTTTTGCTATGGATCTTCTACTGGCAGCCCCAACTAGGATTCTCAAATATGTTTTTAGATCACAAGGTTTCCGTGTAAGTCTTAGGTTGAGGCTCAAGTCGTCTGTATTAGGTGAAGATTTCAGGCTCACATTCCAATCAATCATGCGAAACAAATAGGCTGTCCAGACATCTCTGTTTGTTTGGAGTCTCTTTACTGATGCTTGGTGATATAACAAATTTCATCTCTATAAATTATTTGGTCCAGCTAACAGGTTGCAGGTTTTTGATGCAGCATCGGTTAGCACTAGACTTCCTAAATAAATTAAAAATTGCAATTATATTAAATGCAAAACAACTATAAAACTTAGGAGTCTATTATTACATTATTTAAGAGTATTATTATAGTTTCAGTAATTTAGGATTTCTATT